TGTATATATTACCCTAGTTAAAAAAAAAAAAAAAGAGGGGAAAAAGCAGATGCAGCACACCATCTCTTTCAGACATAACGAATTTATTCAGAAAATTCAAATTTCAGTTTGGCAAAGTATATCCAGGGGCAGAGAGTTTGGGATAGTCATTTCATTGGAAGCAATCACATTTTCTAGAGCTAAATGTCCATGGGGTAGTTAAAAATAATTTAGTGTGCATGGGGTGATAATCATAAATATTTGCAGAGTCAACAAAACAATCAGCTTACACAACCTGGGCATGAAAAACGCTTATGCTAGTAGTACTCCTTTATTCAATTTAGTGCAACATACATTAAGCCCCTAATTTATTCAAGACACTGGGCTAGCTGCTGGGGCTGAGGTGGAAATACAAAAATCACCAAGACACAATCCCTGTCCTTAAGAAGTTTACAACAGCACATATAAAAATGAGTGTGGTACAAAATAACTGCTCTAAAAACATGGAGGAGAACTTACTTCTCAGTAGAGGTTAAAGTCAGGACCCCCTTAATTTTGTGCTGTGGGTGAGGGAGGCAGGATACAACATGCCAAGAGAAGAGAAGTCTGGTGTCTAAGTATGACTTGGCAACAGGAAGTGGACTAACTCCTCCACAGCTTTGTGTGAATAGGGCAGGAGTATTCAAAAGTATTTTTTTTAATTCCTCTCATCAATGTTAGCCCATTACAAGAAAGTGATCGACAGAAGTGAGGTCTATTAAAAAAACAAAGTTTGAAGAGGCAGGGACATGAACAGGAAACACCATTTCATAGTTTCGTGTAAACTCAACCCCATGTGTATATACATCTAGTAGCTTAAGTAACATCATCAAATGGGGGGAAAAAAGTCCATCTGGAGCAACACAGTTCGTCATGGCAGAACAGTCTCTCTTGTTAGATTCTAAGACTAGCTTTGGCTCCTGCCAGTGGAGGACATAATGCTACAGGGAAATTGGAAGTCCGTATTTTTACACATGAATTAAAGTCCTTAAACGTTACCTCCTCAACTCAGCATAGATGATGAAGAGAGCTTAGAAGAATTTGGGGACAGAGATTTAAGTCTTTCTAGGCTAACTGATCTAATGATGCCTTGGCATGCTGTATTTCCTATTTAAAAAAATACAGGATGAGCAAGTCTTTCCTGAATAACAACTTACTATGTGTAGAGCATACTTCAAGAGGAATTTTAACGGAACATACTACTAATCAAACATCACAGTTTTGGCTTTTGTAATTTACACAAATTACCTTAATGATAATACTTTAGGGAACACTTACAAACACAATTATGTAACGTTGCTTTAATATTCATCAGCCTTAACTTCTAGAAGTTTGGCTTATATTATCTCAAAAAAAAACCCTACTTATAAATCTCGTTTTCCCACAGAATTAATTCACCATCCAACTTTAAAAATAACTTTTAAAAACAGAAACCAATAGTAAACTGGAATGCTAATACCTGCCAGGCTTTGATAAAATAAAAATAAACAACTTACATAAACAGCACCTCATAAAACCAAAACCTCCTTTTGAAAAACAAAGTTCAATTCTTCTTGCCCTCTTGGTAACTGCTAATCAGAACCCCCAATTCTCCCCCTCCCCTCTTCAATCCAGGAACTGTTCTGGTTTGTTAAGTCACATAACACACAGTATTTTTTAGCATTAATAAATTATTGATATGGTACCATGAATAGCTGTTTTTAAAAACCAAAGTAACTCAGAAGACTAGTAGAACAGATATAATAGCACACTAAAATAAAAGAAAAAAAATTTTTTAAATGTACCTTATCCTGGTCTTGTATTAATTCAAATTAAAAACCAAAGGATGAAGTATCATTTCAGACCTATATACATCAAGATGCCAGTTCTTATAAAAATGTACTTTAGTTGTAAATGCTAGGTTATGCAAAAATAAGTTTATATCAATTGTATTTTTTAATGAATCTTCCCCAACTCTAATATTAAAAATGTTAAAAGAACTTAAATTTTAATGGCAAAAAGTTCCTATTTTCCCCATCTATTAAAAAAAGATTTTATTTTCCCTTATTAACATACAATGCCCTATTGTTAAGGCACAACTTTTTTTAGGATAAAAATTAAACCATACACTAGGTTGATTTTATACAACAGTTACAAGATAGACTTTTTGTAGGCATATACTGAAAATAATATACCTCAAATTCAACGAAGATCAAAAATGAAAAATCAGTTTCTATCCAGGTCCAGTCAACACATAGCCAAGATAAATAGTTGCAGCTAGAATAACCCAAGTAGATTCTATTTTTAACCTGCCAAAGATTGTCTCCATAAGGCCATTTTCAAGGTGTTATCAAGGAGAGGCAAGCTGGATATTTTCTTTTTTGAAGAACAGCAGGTGGTGGCACCCCAGCTTTCTTTACTTATACTTTGCTATCAGAGATCGTTGTCACCTTCAAAGCCTGGGTGAGATCCAATTTTTGAACATCTGAGACAAGGGCAGAGTTCCTGATCCTAGGGCTCAAGGCAGATGTTTGCTCTGCATCCTCCCTCTGCTACCCTTCCCTGGAGCTTTCTTCCTTCCCACTCTCTTCTTAGCCACTGCCCCTCCCCTTATTTCCTCTGACCCAATTAGCACAATATTCAAAGGGAGCACTCAGCAAACAGAATTTGCACAACTGTTACTTAAAACACATGAACCAAAACACTTGTTAGCTTCATCATACAGCCATAAACAATTCATTTGAATGTTGATTTAAATCAAGAAAAAACATTAGAGGAAAGAGGACAACTGAATACCAAACAAATATGATCCTTGTAGGCCCTTTGTAATCTCAGCTGAAATAAGGACACAAGAATGAAAGCTAACAGAAAAAGCAAGTTTTCTTAAGCAGGCTTATATACCTAATTCTTATATTTTCTGCATTTTCATTCTCTGAAGAAAGGATCTAAAGAAATGATTTGTAAAGACAGAAGCACTGGATTAGACTTGACTATGTAAATCTTTGTGGTTTTGAAGGTGATTTTCCTTTACCTTTTGAGAACAGTCTTTTGAGAAATAACGGTCAACCAGAACTCTTGCCTGGCTTCATCTCCCTGACCAGGAACTTAACTCAGTTCTACCATAAGATCTCGGCAGCCAATCTTGAGAGAAGTAGGTCTAAGAGAGAATTCAGGGGTTAAGTTTTGGGGGAGAGTATGGTACAGAAAGAGGGGCAGAGATAGAAGAACATCAATGGGCTGGGGAGCCAGGGAATGAGGTAGAGATGAAGGGCAGAGCAAGGGGACAGCTAATAAATACTGAAGTTATCGATGCCACTACTTTTACTAAATGTGATGTGTAAAACTCAAAAGTTTAAGGGAGTATTGTGCTCTAAATGATAGCAAAGATAAAGGAAAGGGAAGACCAGGAGTTGGGGAGGTAAGGCTCGCTAAAAGTTCAACTTTATTTTGCTGCATTTTAGAAGTAATTCTGGGAGATAGTACACGCCTCACTTATTCATGGTGTTTTACTGGTTATGTTCTGGCACAATAATGTTTCACATAAATAAATATAAATATTGTTCTTTGCACTTATATTAGTTCTGTAATGTATATTGACTTTTAGAAACAAAAAAATTAAAAATGAATTTTCTATAAAAGCACTTAAAAACCATTAGTAACTAGACTATACCCAACAGATAATAAAAATAACGCATTTAACTGTCAGCCAACATCTTAATTTTTGCACATAACACAAACCCTTCACAAAGTCATTATCTACATGCAGATTAATGGAATTAAAAATAAAACCAAAGCAATCATGCTTGCTAATATGATCTAGTTTCATTTCCATTAAATTAGAAAGTTTCCATGTAATCTTGAAAAAAAAAACACCTCCAATTAAATGCCATTTCTTAATATGCCAGTCTTCTTGCTCCATGTTTGACACATTACAATTAAAACAAACGCTTATATTACGGACTCTGGAAATAGTATATGCCTCTGCCATCTCTCCTGAGGAAAAAATATTCTCATTTCATTGAAAAGTAAAAAGATGAGGTCTCCAATATTCTGTTCTGAACCCCTAAGTCCTGTTTAAATATCAAGTGTTCCAACTACCAAAACATTGTATGAATTTCACTGAACCTATCGAGGCCCACTACACTATCAGGTTTGTGAACAGTTGCTAGAGACTGGGAATAAACATGTGCTTTGTACTAAATTTAGTTCCATAAGGAGGAATGAAAGGACCCTGGAGACCACGTAAAAGGCAGACCTAAAGTTGTATGCACATTCCACCAGGTGAGCATGTCCATTCTTTGGTCAACTTTACCTCCATGACAGGAAAAGAAATGGAAAGTTGTTTTGAAGAAAGAAAAGAAGAAAACAAACGAGCAATCCCCTCCCCCTCTAATCAGTATGTTATAAAATACAAGGACATCAAAGTCACATGAAATAACAGTATTGTTTACACGAAGTTTCCAGATAACACACTGAGAGAAATCCAACATCCCGATGAAAGTTCACAAAGGTTGTAATTACAGTGACACAGGGAATATGCCATTGCCTTTCTTCCAGATTCTGCCTACTGAATTAAAACAAAAATTACTCAAAAGGTAACATTAACCTTTGTTATTTTAATCTGAACGGAAACTTTAAAGTATCTTAAAAGCTACTACTTTGAGATTAGATTAGATCCATTTATTAATGGTAAAAAGAACCATAAATCACTCTTGATAAGGAGAGAATCTCTACATACAAACCTGGCAAAGTTTTTTAAAAAGTACTAAAACAAAACCTTTGAAAACGAAAGCTAGCTCAATTTGTGTAATATCAAATGACTCAATTAACAGAATAATTTATATTCTTATAGTGCATAATTTATCCCTAAGGAGAAAATGTACCAAAATCTTAGTGCTAACCCTGAAACTTTAATCCAAACCTTACATGTTAAAGACTAAATGCTGGTTAGGAGGGAAAGGATGGGACCATGCAATGTCCACAGAACAAACAAAAATCAACAGTAAGATGGCAGAAATATTGAACCCATAGGTACAAATACACTTTTCTGTACAAAAACAAAAAGCAAAAAACAAAACAAAAACACATACACAGAAACTACTATTACAACGCAATCATCATATAGCTATATTCTCAACTAGCTGGTGAACCTGTTATTAAAATTTCAAAGAAAAAAACAAGCTTTTTCTATTTTAATCCATTAAGAAATATTTAGTAACAACAGATAAATAGAGCATTTGTTGCATATTAATGAATGTGTGGCTTCTTGTGCTTTCCATCTGAATTAGGGGTAAAAACCCCCAATTACTTTATTTTCAATGAGATACAGTTGTAAAGTAGTATTAAATCTACACAAAATCAATCCTTTCTTCAGCCCAATTCTGTATGAAAAGTACTAACAAATAGTGAAGATTCATGATGTTGTGTGAAAATGGTGACTCATAACAATGTAGACTCAGCTATAGATTTTAATTCACAAATATATATATATATGTGTGTGTGTGTGTATATATATATATGCGGCCTTGTGTATGACAACTGTACGAAAATAGTCTCAAAAATAAAGACAATACTTGAGACACGAAGCAACCCACTTTCCCTGATCTTGCATCCTATTACAGGGAAAATAAGTCTCTGATGCTTCATAAATACTTTAAAAAGTTCGGGATGGCCTTAACCATGCAGTCTCCACCGATGCTTTGAAGCCCCCAGCGTTTCAGGCTGACTGTTCAACTCAGGAAGAGCTGTGACCTGTGATCACCTTTGTTTATTTATGTCCTGTCTTCTCTAGATCTGGGAGTTTTCTGACTAGAGCCTGGTGGTTCATTCTGATGCTAGCAAGGAGCCCTCCTTCAATGCCGTCGGAACCAGTGTAACTGATTTCTTCACCACTCAGGGTAGTCATATGCCCCCCAAGGGCTTTTAAGATGGCATTGCCAGCACATATATCCCATTTTTTGATGTATGTCACATGGATATATAGATCAGCTTTTTCTTGACTCTTATCAGGCACATCCAAGAGTGCTAAAACTTTGTAACCTAAAAGAGAAACACAGAATTTAGGTTACTATTCAAAAGATTTGAAGAAAGTAGCTTACTTTTTTTTATTTCTTTTTTTTTAAATTAATTTTATTTTATTATGTTAGTCACCATACATCATTAGTTTTTGATGTGGTGATCCACGATCCATTGTTTTCGTATAACACCCAGTGCTCCATGCAATATGTGCCCTGCTTAATACCCATCACCGGGCTAATCCATCCCCCCACAAGTAGCTTACTTTTTATGAGTATATTGCGAAAAATAACAGCACAGGATAGGCAGGAGTTCTCTATACTATCTTTGCAATTGCAAAATCTAAAATTATTTAAAAATAGTTTTGTTCTTTTTTCAAGGAAGTTAACAGTGCAGACATTGAACCCAAATGAGCAAAAAAATATACTGTAAAGGAACTTATGAAGCTATTCTCAAGTGTAACCAAATACTTGAGTTCTTCTATAATCTTTTAAATTTAAATCTACTTTGTGGTTGTTTTCTATGGAATGATACAGTCACTGTGTATCCTTTCCTCTGGAATACTATACTGAAGCTATATACCCACGGGTTTCATCTGAATATCTAGGAACACTGGATTTGAAAGAAGACAAAATAACACAATCTTAAGACTTTACTGTAATGAGGCAGAATTTTTAAAAATTTAAAAAATAATAAAACAAACAGAAGAAACCAGGTCTAGAATCTGATTTATCCCATTCATACTGGATATTCTGAACATTACCTTCCTAACCAACATTAACAGAGGGCTTATAGGAAAATATATTAAGTAAGGTACATTGTTGTAATCATGTAAAGGTTTTCAAACACGTTTCTCACCATAATTTTTAATTTATTTGAATTAAAACACTTCTGTCATATTAAAAAGCGCTCAAAACAAGGGTGAGCAAAAGGCCTATGAGCCAAATTCAGGCCATGCACTGTTTTTGTACAACCCTCAAGCTATGAATGGTTTTCTGTATTTTTAAAGGGTGGTGACAAACCAAAAATCCAAGAATAGTAGGCAGTAGAGTCTACACATGGCTCATAAAGCCTAAAATGTTTACTATCTGGTCTTTTAGAAAAAGTAAGCTGACCCCTGATCAACAACAGGTAATAAAATAGTGCAGAATATACAGTAAGCTGGGTGGCTACCAGACTCCGGCTCATCCCAGACATGCAAGCTGAAGAGCTCAGAGGTGTTAAAAGTGCCCAGGGATTAGCCATCCTAGTAACACTTATGAGGATTCCTGACATCTTTCTGCCATAGGAAGCATCATAATGTGCTTGATCTTCCCTTCTCTCCCTGATATTCTTACAGTTAGGCTAAGAGCACAATTACTTTGAAATTAGATCACATATAAAACCACTACTGACGGTACATCACTGACATGAGGATGCTTTTGTAATATTCAAGGAACAGCAGTCACTGTTGTGAGACTATTGTCCCTACTGTGAGGCTGTTTCTTTCTTTCCTTTTAAGATTTTATTTATTTATTTGACAGAGAGACACAGTGAGAGAGGGAACACAAGCAGGTGGAGTGGGGGAGAGAGAAGCAGGCTTCCCGCTGAGCAGGGAGCCCAATGCGGGGCTGGATCCCAGGAGCCTGAGATCATGACCTGAGCCGAAGACAGATGCTCAACGACTGAGCCACCAGGCGCCCCTCTTTTCTTTTTTTTTTAAAGATTTTTATCTATTCGAGAGAGAGAGAGAGAGAGCACAACCACGGGGAATGGTAGGCAGAGGGAGAGGGAGAAGCAGGTTCCCCACGGAGCAGGGAGCCCGATGCAGGGCTCGAGCCCAGGACTCCGGGATCACGACCCCAGCCGAAGGCAGACGCTCACCCGACTGAGCCACCCAGGCGTCCCTGTGAAGTCATTTCTAACAAGAAGGCATGTGTGGCTGAAATCCCACCCTCGAGATAACCAAGTAGGAGATCATACCTGTCTGCAAAGTACACTGTCTATTCTCACTTTTTTCCCAAGCACAGGACAACCAAGTCTTTCTCCCGACATAAGCCTGACCATGCTGGGGACACTGCCCCCAGACACCACAGGGGAATAGGAACGTACCAGCACCACCAGCTGGGATAATTGTAGTCTGGTTTCCAAAAGTCTGAAGAGCAACCTGTTTGACCATTCCTGAATGCGAGCGTGACACAACGATCCTTGGGGTCTTCTCATTGTAGGAAGTGCGGGCTTTCACGTTGGACCCACCGTCTACCATTGCCCAAGCTGAAAAGCAAATATGATATCCATTAACAGCACTGAAGCCTTTTGAAACGGGAACTCAAAGGACCAAGAGTTGATTGACAAAATACCCTTTTCCGCAGAATTACTTGTTTTTCCCCAAAACAAAAATGCTTTTTTTTTCCTGAGAATGAGAGTAGTATTTAACATTTTTTTGCATTAAAATAGGCAAATATTAAGACAAAGCTTAAAAAAGGCCACATAATCCTGCCCAACCAGAGATAATGACTTCTAAAAACTTGGCTTAAGAACTCCCAGGCTCCAGAGCTCCCAGTGAGGTGCTGAGTTCTCACTGGGATTATACTGCAACTCAACATCTCTCTATACCTAATCTGGCTTCCTTCCCTCTCTTACACAACTTTGATCCCAAGAGCACTCTTTCCTAAACATCCTACATGCTCATCTCCATCTCAAAAGTCTGGCTTCTGGGGAACTCAACCTGTGACAACCTAGGACATAAACACAACTAGCTACCCTGGATAATTCAAAATTTAAAATAGGTTTTCCTCCTACTATTTTCTCCTCCTCCTTACTATTTCTCCTCCTATCTATTTCTGATATATTCATGGTTTCAATGATAAACATAAAACAGTTAAAGAGGTGAGTTAGATTTACACATCTGCTTTATCAGAGGATATAAAAAGAAAATGCTCTAGATTTCAAAATAGAACAGAAATTTCTAAGAAGATGAGGAGACCCTAGAAATGGCTTGAAATGTTTTTCTTGGTTTGGAAGTTTTCCTCACTGACTACCAAGCTATACAAGAAAATAAACTTACTCAGAATTATCAAATTAGACTGTTGCTCTAGCAGTCACTCACTATGGGGTAAAACACAGTCCACCATGGCTAGCAACGAAAGCAGATGCATTATTACTTACTCCTGGCTGCAGGAAAAAATCAAAAAAATGAACAGAATGTCCAGGCTCTGAGCTAAGGATGGCAGTCTCTTGGACTCCTCTCACACTTCTTTCTAAAAACCACACATTGCAACAAGGAGAACAAATAACACCCTTAATCGATAGCTAAAGAATAAGGAGACGAAGAATAGTCACAAACACAAATTTATGAGAAAGAAGGGAAGTAAATACTGAGATCAGTAGAAGTGCCAAGAGGCTGGAGGCCTCTCAGTGGTGGTAGAACTCAGGGAACAACAGCCAGGATTTCTCCCCAGAAGGAAAGGGTCCCATCTAAAATGGGAACGACTGCATGTAGGCCTGAGATGTGGCAACAGAGCAGCAACAAGAGGAGGCCTAGAGAAGACACCGAGCCAAAGTGAAGTCCTGACAACAGACCAGATGACACAGAACATCTTTCAGAAAGTCTCCCCATGAGAGACAACTGGAAGACAGCAAACAGAACTGAAGAAAAAGAAGGGGTTGAAGATAGGGGCCTTACTGAATCAAGACAGGATCCAACAAGACAGAAGAAAAGTGAAAACAAAAAAGATGCCTGATAATAAAGATAATGCCTTCCTTGCCCTAACAGAAAAGAAATTTCCTGAACTGAGAACCACCCAAACTCCTCTTCTGCCACCACCTTCCCACCAACTGCATGGTGGCCGGCCCAAATGTGAGTAAGAAATATGTACAACTGCAATGTCCACTGAAAAGTATAAGAAGAAAATACAATGAATGAAGGTTAAAACATTTCAGGCTACTTGAAAATTTCTATAAAGCAGAGTAAAACTGTAACACAACATTCAAAGACGATTAATAATAAATAAGCAACAACAACAACAAAAGAACACTATGGAACAAAAAAGCAACTCAGGAAAGATAAATAGGAAGATATGAAATGGGAACTCATATAATACAGGAAAGAACGCAAACAACAACAACAACAAGACAAAATCACTTAAGACTTAGTTCTAGATCACAGGATACACAGAAAGACAACAGATTGGTCGAAAAGCACAGTAAGCAATGAGAAAAGCAAAAAATAAGTGAAACAAGCAAACACATAAAGGGGACCAGAGAAAAGGTAATAGATACAGAAGTCAGTGAGAGAAGAGTCAATATACATATATTAGGAGTCTCTGAAAAAGAAAAACAAAAACAATGAAATAGAACTAATCTTTAAAACTTTGATTCAGAAAAAAGTTCCTGAAATAAAAGAGGACTTGAATATCCACACTGAGAGACATACTATGTAGGTATCTGCCCAGAATCCCAACTCTGAATCTGAGATATATCATAGTTCTATTATTAGACTTTCAAGATAAAGCTCTTTGGTGTTCCAGGCAAAAATACCGAGCTACTTACAAAGGAAAGAAAATCGGATTATCAGCTTTTCTGCCAACAAGATTCAACATGCACCCACACAGATATTATACCAGTTCAACAGTTTCTACAAGTTAACCAAGAAAAAAAGAGTGTATAGTGAGTGAAATAGTGTCCTACTAAAATTCCTGTCTCCTGGGAACCTTCAGAATATGACCTCATTTGGATACAGGGTCTTTGCAGATGTAGTTCAAGTTGAGGTCAAACTGGATTAGACTGGGCCCTAAATTCAATGATTGGTATCCTTATAAAAACAGGAGACAGAGAAAAACAGACCGAGAGAATGAGAAGTGGAGGCATGAACTGGAATTATGTGTCTACAAACCAAGGCACGTCAATGAACGCCTGGAGCCACCAGAAGCTGGAAGAGGCAAGGAAAGATTCTTCCCTTGAGCTTTCAGAGGGAGCACGACACTGCCAACAACATGAGGTTGGATTTCTGGCCCTCAGAACTGCGAGAAAATAAGTTTCTGTTGTTTTAAGCCCTCTAGTTTCTGGTAATTTATTAGAGCAGCCCAAGGACAGAGGGCTAAACCAAAGAGTGTAAGTAGCTGACAGTCTTTAAAGAATCAAGGCTACAGAAAAAGCTTTTAACATGTAAGAACTCAGGTAACATGACCTGGATGAGCTAGCTCTCCTGAAGTAATCTTTCAGAGGACAAGCTTTATCCAACCAAAAGATGACTGAAGAACTCTTAGCAAAAGCACTGTTGGTCAATACTGAATAAATTTAACTGTGGATTTAAGATGAAACCAAGGATAGGAAAATAGGTGGAAGAATAAAAGTGTGTAAATGTTATCTCACAGCTGACTGGTTGACAGTCACAGGATACCATCTAATCTGAAGAGCTGAAGAGCAGAAAGACACATATCAAAAAAAGGTATGATTGACTAAAATGGGATGGTAGTCAAGGAGGCTAAAATAAGCTGATCTCACTGTTGCTCATAGGGGAGAACCAACAGACGAGACCTACAGCACAGGACCATATAATGGCATTTAAACAAAAAGGCATATATAAAGGTGTTAGTAAAAGTGGGCAATGAAAAAAAGAGATTTAACTTGAAAAATAATACCTGTAGTTTGAATAGCACTGAATATATAAAAATCCATGAGACCTTAAGGATATCAAAAAAATAAAGGCAAAAGCCTGCTCTTCCCTGAAAAAAATAACATTTCATTCCCCCTGGAGGTAGTTTTTACCCGAAGTCCGTACTTAGAAATTGGTGAAGAAAAAAAGTTAAACATGTATTTTGTCTTTCTAATAGTAACTACCTTTCAGGATAAACAAGTAACTCCAGCTGATGAAGAAACTTCTCAGTAGAAGAATTCTAGCTAATATATGTAGAAAATACAACAGAATTAGAAAATCCCATTTCACATCTTTAATAGATCTTAAAACTATTATGTGGAATGTTTAATAGAATCCTGATCTCAAATGGTGGCAAAATATTTCTCCAGACTACTTGTTGGTAGCAAGAGAATCAAAATAATTTGTAACAGAGATCTGGTCATGACCATTTTAACCATCTTACAGCATCACTAATAATAAGACTAGATATTTATATATCATATAAAATGATACAGCAGGAAGTACATAAAGAATATCTACAACGTGTTCTTGACAAAAATCCTTAACCTTAATCCAATCAAGGCTTCAGACCTAATTTGCACTTTATAAGAAAAAGAAGATGAAAAGTAAAGTTAAATGAAACTCTGAGGAAATAATCAGAAGAGTCTCAAAAGCAGGACATTATGTAACAACTAACTTGATCTCAACAAGTCAATGTCATGGGGAAGAAGAGGGCTGGAGGGTGTTCTAGATTAAGAGAACTTAACAGAACAACCAAAAAAATGTATGTGACTTGACCAGATCTTGGTTTGAAGTAACCAGTTGTAAAATCCACTTTAGAAACAACTGGGGGAGGTGTGAATACGGGATCAATTAGGGAATAAATGTTAATTTTATTATTATATTCAAAATAATAGTATTACATTAATAGTATATTAAGAGATGCATAGTGAATTACACGGGGGTAAAATGTCATGATCCTTGCAATTTTCTTTAAAGTACGTGAAAAAAAAGAAAGAAGCAAATATACAGAAATGTTCAACTGTTAAATCCTGATGAAAGAGCACATGAAAATTCTGTACAATTTTATGTTTGCTTGAAATTATTCACAATAAAAGTTAAAAAATGACAAAGAGAAGAAAAAAAAACTCAATTCTTTTTAGAAATGATCAGAAAAAACATGGTTTTACTAAGAAGTGAATTTACAGTGCTACATCTCTAGAGGTCAGTATTGTGTAAGAGAATAAAGAGAGCGTATCTCAGTAGATAGTACCAGAATAATTTTAGATAAGAATTAGTAATTTAGTATTTTAAAAATATATTTCATGTTACAGAATTTCAGCAAATTCTGTCCTAACACGTACATGGACAAATTATTTCAAGCACTTTAAAAAAATTCGGTAGATGCTTAAATAAATGACTGATGATGATGAGGTAATCATGAAAAGGTAAAATAGCAGCTAACAATGTGTTTATTCTGAGGATATGCTAAAAAAAGTCCAGTGGGTAATAAAAAGTGGTACTTTGCTACACATTTCAGACATTATAACTTAGCTACAAATTTCCACTGCATGGATATATTACACTTACACATTTATACATTACTTTGTTAAAATACTATTTAAGTACCTGTTGCTTCTTAGAATTTCAAACTCAGTGAATTACTTCTAATTAAGTCTGATAAGAATTCTGATCAGTTTTGCTCTCCCTGATGCCAACAATACTATCTAGCTCCCATTATAGTCAAGTGTAGTTAAATTCTGGTAAGCATTTAATACCTGAGGGTTGGTACTCTGCCAATATCAATATACAGTCTGGATCTGAAAATAACAGTCCAAAAAGAGAACACAAGCCAAACAAACCTTCGATCCAGGAACAGAAGGTCAACCCACACCTAATTAAGGACTCATTGATTCTTTTAGAATGTTTGCTGACTAGCAAGCACCTTCATTCCAGCATACTGGGCAACTCAGCAGCATCACAGAAGAACAGGGCATTTTCTTACAACTTACAGAAACCATTTTGGAACACAAGCTGTTGCTAAGTTAGAAACTTTTGCCTTTTTTATTTTAGAGGAGGTAAGACTCTAGGGGGAGAGGAGGAGAGGATACATAGTCTTATGGAATAAATTTTTTTTTTTAAATGGGCATTTTATGATCCTTATTCTCCCCACCCCTAAAAGGAACAGATGTGGAAATTAGGGCCCAAAGAATGTGAATCTCTGCCTATCCAGTATCAACTTCCTCTTCACTTCCTTTATTGATTCTAATTCTCTCTGGAGTATCAGGCTGTTTGCAGCTAAGGGGGCCATGTGACATTTGGCCAATGAGATGGAGCAGAGGGCTTCAAGTTACTCTTTCCTAACACAAAGAATTATCTGGGATAGATCTTTTGTCCCTCCTTCTTTCCCCTTTCTTCCAGCCTGGAAGAGAGCCATGGAAACTGGAAGCACCCATCTATGTAAGCATGAAAACAAAAAACTACCTTCTAAGACAAAAAAGCAGAGGAGTTAGGTGCTTAACAGTATCATAAACTGAAACCCCCTGCCCTTTGCCCATCTTATTAGGTGAGAAAAATAAAACCTATACTTGTTTAACTACTGTAATCAGATTTATTTTGTCTAGAGATAAATGTAACCCTAACTGATATAGACAGGCAATGAGGAACCATGTCGAAGAATGAGTCAACTATACTTCAATTAAAAAAAAAGAAAAGAAAGAAAAAAAAAGTGAGAGAGGACTTCAAAGACTTAAGCCCTATACTTAATCTTTATATGCCTGTTTTTCTTTAATTGAAGGTCACTATAATTCCTCTTTTATAGTCTTTCCAGAATTATTTTTTTTTTTAAAGATTTTATTTATTTGACAGAATGCGAGCAGGAGAGCACTAGCAGTGGAAGTGGCAGAGGGAAAGGGAGAAGCAGGCCCCCCGCCAAGGAGGGAGCCCAATGCGGGGCTTGATCCCAGGACCCTGGGATCATGGCCTGAGCCGAAGGCAGTCGCTTAACTGACTGAGCCACCCAGGCGCCCCTCCACAGTTATTTTGAAGCTGAAATGAATTTATACCAATACATTTCATGAACTGTGAAAATACTAAACAAATGTGAGATATTAATAAGGAGTGGTTAGCTCTTGCTGTAACATTTTGAACTATGTTGCTTTCCTAAGAACTTTGCTAAGCCCCTTTTCTCATCTTTATAAAAAACAAAAATAACAACACTTATCTTTGTCTCACAGTTATCACAAGGTTCAAATGAGATAACTTAGTTTACTGCAAATAGTTAACCACTATACAAATGCTGGGAACTGTGGAGTTATTATGAACTGTGGAGTTATTATGAAAGTGGTGTGATGTACTGATTTGCATAAAATTCCTGAGGTTGCTTCCTCCTCTAATTTAGCTGGATGACCTTGAGGAATGTATCAAACTTCTGAGGCTCATTTTCTCATCTGTAAGTGGGAGTGTTAGTACGCGTACCCCTCCCTCATGTGTTATACTAAGAGCAATACTGCTAGGTTAAGTTATGCTCCAATAACCACTTGCCCTCTTCTCCCTAAGTGACAGAACCCCTGAACTGGGTGCTTGGATGGCCACTGAAATAAAGACCACATTTCTTAGCCTCCCCTGTGGCTGAGTTCAAGCTACATTTTGGTCAATGGGATGTGAGCTGAAGTGATGCGTGCAACTTAGAGGTCAAACCCTTAGTGGAAAATGTCCTCCATGTCTCCCCTTTGATCCTCTCTTCACTGGTTAAATGTGGTTGAAGCAGAGAGCCATCCTCAGTCATGCAGAAGGGGGCACCAAAATTTAGCACAGCGAAGCAACAACATAGAATACGCTGCATGCCTGATCTGTTTGTATACAGGCTGTTAGAGAAGAGAGAAATCAGCTATTTTGTTCAACCTCTGGTATTTTGGTGCAATGTAGTACAGCAGCCTAAATTAGTAGCCTAACCTATATCCTCACTTATTCAGAAGGATTAAAGGAAACATGTGAAAGCAATCCACAAACCATAAATCAACTATATAATTAATTTTAAGGCACACTGTCTCAATAATGACTTAAATCTTTTACAGCTCATCAAATTGTCAACTGTAAAAACTACCTGAATTATGAAAAGACATAAGGTCAGATTAACACAAAACAGATTAGGTCTTGAAATGCAGAGCCAACAACTCAAGTATATGTTCAGCCTATCTCAGAGGAGCCGGAATTTGGGATACAAAGTATTCTGCAAAGCAAGTAAGTTTTAAGAGTAAGCAAAACTTAACCTTGTCTCCACTTATGTCCACTTGACAGCCAGCCTTTTTATGCAGTGTCGGCCACACCACTGAGACACAGAAGGGTGGAGTAAACAACAGAGCTGTAGGGATGCTGGGTGTTATTCGTTTCCTAGGGCTGTCATGACAAATTACCATAAACACGGTGGCTTAGAAGGAGAGAAATTTATTTTCTCACAGTCTGGAGGCTCACACATTTCACAGTTTATGAAATGTACTGGCAGTCCAAAATCCAGATACTAGTATTGGTAGGGTTTATTCCTTCTGGAAACTCTAAGGGAGAATTTATTCCATGCCTCTCTTCTAGCTTCCAACAGCTGCCAGCAATCTTTGGTGTTCCCGGGCTTATGTGCATCTCCAGTCTGTGCCTCTACCATCCCAACCTCTTACCCTCCGAGTGTCTCTGCAATCCCGGTTTCTTACAAGGATACTCTCACTGACTTAAGGACCTACCCTAATTCAGGATGATCTTATCCTGATAATTACCTTAATTACATCTGTAAAGACCTGACTTTCAAATAAGGTCACATTCTGAAGTTGATTGTTATGGGTTTATAGTCCCCCAAAAGATATGCTGAAGTCCTAATCCCCAGCAGAGTAGAGTCTGACCTTATTTGGAAATGGGTTTACTGTAGATGTATTTAGCTAAATGAGGCCATGGTGGAGTAGGGTGGGCTCTTTCTAATATGACTGGTGTCTTTACAAGAAGAGAAGTGACACAGATACATAAGCAGAACGCCATGAGGTGCTGAAGGCAGAGACTGGAGTGATGTGTTCACAAACCAAGGGATACAACAGACTGCTGTCAAACTATTAGAAATTAAGAGAAAAACATGGAAGAATTCTCCCTTATAGGTTTCAGTGAGCACATGTCTCTGCCAACACTTTGACTCTGGATTTCTAGCCTCCAAAACTGTGTTAGACTACATATCTGTTGTTTAAAGACACACAGTTTGTGGGTTTTCTCTTTCTGTTTTTATGGCAACCCTAGGAAGCTAATACAGGGGTGAACAGGAATTTGAGGGGGGCATGATTTAACCCACAGCACCTTGTCATGAGGGCTGCTTTCAACGCTGGCACTGGCAAAATGGATCCTGTCACCATCAAGAACCTCATCGTCTTAGAAAACAGTGGAACCAAAAGGCCATAATCCTTGCACCGTGTTTCTGATGGGAATGACTAATTAAAAGTATAATGAGTCCCTTCAGACTGTCAGTGATACTTCTTACATCACTAACTCTTTCCCTCAACTTCTCCACCCTGACAACTCATGGCATCATCCTGGACTTTTAACCACAGGCCACACTATCATTGCTATTCAAAAGACCATGGCTAGCCTCTCCGGCAAACTACAGCCTAATGGTTGTGGTGATGCCAAAATGTCATGCCAGTATCCACCAGCACTGGCAAGGCTTTGGGCGAGGTCATCCTGAGCGGTATGAGAAGCTCTTTGGCATGGTCTTCCACAATCCCAATTTCCAACGTGACGATCAAAGATCTGACTTGCCATCTGCACAAAGCTAACAAACATGACTACATCAAGAAGGTGGGTAGACAAGGGTCAAATGGAACTCTGAAGAGTGTCCAGGGCTACAGGAGAATTAGCCTGATTAGTAAGACTTTCACCATAACACCATCCCATTTTCACGCTGAGGGTGCCAAGTTGCCATTGTCCTTCACCACAATATCAAGCTCATTTCCTGATGTGACAACAGATTTGGCTAAGGCCACTTGATGGTGGATCTCAGAACCCACATAGAAACCAATGTGTAAGAGTCCTGGACCTTATCCCCAGCAACAGCACAAGAGAAACAAAGAGGAACTCAGCTGCTGGGAAGTCTGTGCCCAACTGTATCCCTCGACATTATCTCTCATTGTCAGTCGGTTTCTATCCCCTAAAGAAAGGTTAGAAAGCTCTACTTCATCATATAGCATCATATCCAACAACAAAATCCTCACTGTATCCAATGAAAGAGTGAGGTATGGTAGGGGATTGACTTTAATAATTAGTGAGCTACAGCTGAGATTCTGACAGAACAGTAAGTACTATAGATGAATGATTTTAATAACATTAACTCTTGAAAGTTGTAGGGCATTTCTTACCTGTATATTCAGAAAATGGCTTATGTATCACTCCTAGCACAGGTTTACCATTCACAGCCACACATACCATAGTAGTGACATACTTTCGAAGATCCTCTATGAAGAAAAAGAACACAAAAAAGCAATAACAGAAATTATTAAAATAATTTAAAATTTTAGTTTTAAATTTGAAAATCAAGTCAAATACTTAGAATAGTCCCTGCACAAGGGATGCACTCACTAAATATTATCGCTATTATATGATCAGGCCAATTTTGGTTTAGGAAAAATTTTTACTAAAAAACCCTCAATATTCCCTATTTCTATTACCTACTTCTGCAAAATATTTTCTAATTTCAGTTACTATTAGACACCTTGTATCTTCCTCCTGTTCTCCAAATAGTTACCTACTGTCTGTCTAATATGGTCAAGTTCAGTGCATAAGGACTAGAATACAAAGATGAAAAAGCAGAAGGCCCCACATTCAGAGAATTTACTATCTAGAAGGAGGGCACATAGATAAACAATTAACTACCATATACTCCAACAAAAAAAGAGAAAAAGCAGGAATTGGTTATCTCTGAGTAAGAAACAAGGCATGAGAGGAGCTATGGAAATGAAATCTGAGCTAGGACTAGGTAAAAAAAAACAAAAGAAAAGGGAGATGAGGGCAGTAATTCTCTGTTTTGCTACTTAATTACCCCTGGGTGCCTAGGATTTACTATTCGGAATTCCAAAGATAGATGTATACGCAATAAAACCTAAATTCCCCAAATCACAAGTAAATATTGTATTCTGGCTATATAAATAAATACCTGAACTCACACCTCAATATATAACTCCATCTATAAACAAACACTTCAATAAATTCGTGTCTAATAGGAATGATTTCGTTGTGACTGCTAAAAATGTCCCTCCTCTGAAGGGTGAGAGATACAGTGAATTGCTATCACCAACAGAGTATGCCACAATATATACTGGTTTTGGGGTCGGGGGTAAAGGTTGAGAATAACTCATCCAGTTCAAAGGTTTCATATCGCATTGCGTTAATCCAGTTGTCTGTCTTAAAATCTAATTGGAAAAGTTGTGTAAGATTGGTAAAGTATTTACCACCAAGTTATACTAACTGCCTTTGTTCTGGTTCTCCAATATATAATGGCACTCTGAAGTTTGAGATCAATTTTAATGTAAAGTCACCTGTATATTCCTGTGTAGCATCAAGTGGATCGATCCAGACAGTAACACTTTCTGCTGGTACCTCTTTAGGGGTGGCTATTTCCTTCAGGATGTCCTCAGGAATCTTACGATCCCATAAGATAACCTCCTGATCAGCTGCATCCACATGTTCCTCAGTATTTATCTGCACCAAAAATAGACGACAGTTAAAAAATTTGAAAAGAAAAAAACGCCACCTGAAAAAACACAAAAGAGAAAAACATTTCAGACCAAATCACACAAACTGAAAGTAGGTAGATCAGTATTTTTATTTTGAAGCATTTCACTGTAAAATGGAAACATATAAAAGAAATTCCAGCAACATCTTGTCTTCAAGTACTTTCCAATCTAATATTCAAGCTGTCTGTTGCCTAAGACAGAGAATCCAATTTTAGAAAAATATAGAGAAACTAAGAAACAAACTATTTAAAGCTTAATGATATTTATAAAAAATAGTAGATCTAAAGTGTGAAAATAGACTGACAATATTATGGAACATTGAACTGAACACAATCAACTATAAGAGGAGGAGAAAAGGGACAATGGACTTAAAAGAAATATGCGTCAAAACAGAGAACTGATGAATGCTAAGAGACACAATATCCTAGAAAAGTAATCATCTAAAATATACCTTTGATGAACAGAAAAAAAACCCTGGAAATAATGAAATAGATCATAAGCTAGTATATTATAAAATGGAAACAAAACTGAGATGGGTAATCCAAAAGGACCAAAAAAAGATCAGTCTTCTCTTCATTATAAACCAAAGGTATGTCACAGGATAAAATGCTGAAGTCAAATTTTCTATTTTTACTTGCTAGGAAACAAAATTAAAATATAAAATAAATCTGATTTACCATACAGATAATGTAAAGGTGTGGGTGAGTAGAAAACCACTGCTTTCAAGTGAGCTTCTTAATGAATACTTAAAATACATTCTGGTTTATAAAACAATGATTTAAATTAATGTGTTAGAATTGTATTTACTTTTGTAAAAGGACATACCAATAAGGCAAATCTAAGAACTGACTGCGTTTTAAGAATGAGGTTAATAACAGACTGTCAACGTTATTTAAATACTACCTTATCAAAAGACTCCCTCTATCAAATCATAACATACACAAGAAAAAAATGTCCCCAAGATGTGAATTTCCAGTAGGAAGACTAGAGCAAGACAGGCTTTTGGGTACTGTGCTTTCTTCTGACAAGCCCCCTTTCTTTTTTTTTTTTTTTCAAAGATTTTATTTATTTTTCAACAGAGAGAGACAGTGAGAGAGGGAACACAAGCAGGCGGAGTGGGAGAGGGAGAAGCAGGCTTCCTTTGAGCAGGGAGCCCGATGCAGGACTGGGTCCCAGGACCCTGGGATCATGACCGAGTTGAAGGCAGACGGACAAGCTCCCTTTCCACAGCAGATCACTGTGTTTATACTGCATGTGATTCCATGCCCAGACCCCATACTAGAGCGTCAGAGTGACTGTAACACTGACACCTATATAAGTGAAAAGTCACACACGGTGAAAACCCTACAAATACCAGCAATCTCTGGAAAGTGCCTTGACATATCCCAAATTGTCAGGGAGAAAGTTAAAAATAGTAATATTCCAGAAACATTAAGCCAATTAAATCAAAAAATATTTTTAATATGGTGTACAGTAAACATCCAATCCATCCATTCACTATTCCTTTACCAATTCCGTAAATGTTTACTGATTGCCAGTTCCAGGGCCTGATGTATAACAGTGATCAATTTGAGACAAAAATCTCTGCCCTTGTGGAGCTTAGCAGAAATTCTAGAGAAGGAGATAAACAATAAACAAGATACATAAGTAAAATGTGATACGCTGAACAGTGACAACAAGGAAACATAGAATGTAGCAGGGAAGAAATGTGCTGTAGGACAGTAGAAGAATCCCAGGCATCCTATCCTTTAAGATAGGATGCCTGGGATTATTCATACTAGCCAAAAATTATAAACTACCAAATGTCCATCAACAGATGAATGGATAGACAAAATGTGGTACATCCATACAATGAAATGTCAGCCCCAAAAAAAAAAAAAAATGAAGTACTACTCATACTATAGCACTGATGAACCCCCAAAATATTATGCTAAGTGAAATAAACAAGAAACAAGAGGTCACATCCTAGATGATTCCATTTATGTGAAATGTCTCTAACAGGCAAATCTATGGAGTCAGAAGATTAGTGGTTGCCTGGGGTAAGGGTGGGAACAGAGATTAGCAGTAAATGGGCACAGGTATATTATTAGGGCGATGAGAATGTTCTAAAACTGATTAATGACAAAAGTTGCACACCTTGGCAAATCTAAAAACTACTGAACTGGACATTTGCAATGGGCAAATTATATGATATGCAAAATATGCTGCAAAAAAGTTGCCATTTGTTTTCAAAGATAGGGCAGCTAAGGAAAAGGTGGCATTAGAATGACAATTTAAAGGAAGTGAGCCTAGCAGGCATTTATCTAAAGGAAGCACCTTCCAGCCCATTGAGTAAAAATGCAAAGGCCCTGAGGTAGGAGTGTGCCTGGTATATTCAGAGCAAGCAAGGAGGCCAGTAGGGCTAGAGCAGAGTAATAAGCAAGCCAAGAAGAAAGGAGCTGAGTAAACCAAGAAGAAAGGATGAGGTTTGACAATAATGGAAACCCAATGGTGAAAGACACTGCAGGTATGACACAGAGTAAGCTGCCCTCCATCGTAACCTCTGTTAACAATGTGCAGAGTGTCCTAGCCATTGCAGAAAGCTAAAGGAGGGTGGCCTATGTAGGGAGGTACAGAGATAGAAAGGAAGAAGCGAAATCGTTAACATGCAACTGGTGAAAATCCAAAAGAACTTGTAGATAAATTACAGAATAACAGCAAAGTCTCCAGATATATAAGATCAATATTTAACATCAATTGTACTTCTTATATACCAGAGACAAATACTAAAGTATTTAACATAAAAATGGAAGCCACTTAAACAAAAGAAGTAAATTATCTAGACATAAAACTACCCAAGATGTACAAAAGCACTATGGAGAAAATAAATCTGTATGAAAAACGTTAATGAGTTAAAAATGGTAAAGATGTCAATTCTCCTATCAGTGAATCTACAGATTTAATGAAAACTCCCATCAAAACCCTACAGATTTGTTTGTTTTTTAACCCCCTCTTGGAAAAAGAGCAATCCATTTTGGTGAAGGAAAAAAAAAAAATAGAAATATCATGGTGGGAGGACTTTCCTGACCAGATATCAAGACTTACTATTAACTTATTATGTTAGAATACTAAGACTGTGGCACTGGGGACATATTTGGCTTTTCCCCCCCAGCTTCACTGAGAAAACTATACATATATACATACATACAAATGTATGTGTAAAGTGTAGAGTGCGATGATTTGATATATGTATATACTATGATTACCATAATCAAGTTAATTAATACATCTATCACTTATTTACTTTTTTCTTTTGTGGTGAGAATGCTTAAAATCTACTCTTGAAGCAAATTTCAAGTATATGATACAGTATTATTAACCACAACCATCTGTATATTTGATGCTCAGAACTTATTCATCTTAGTCATAACTAAAAGTTTACACCCTTAGACCAACATCTCTATTCCCTCATTCCCTAGACTCTGGCAATCACCATTTTAATCACTGTTTCTATGAGCTCAACATTTTTTTTTTTTTTTTTTTAAGATTCCACATATTAGTGATACCACACAATACTTTCTCTGTGTGGCTCACTTCACTTAGTATAATGCCCTCCAGGCTCAACCATGTTATCCCAAGTGGCAGGATTTCCTTCTTTTTAACGGCAGAGTAACATTTCAGTGTGTGTGTATGTACACATATGTGTGTATATATACACATACATACATATATACCCTTTTCTCTTTATCCATTCACCTACTGACAGACACTTAACTAATCATTTCCATATTTTGGCTATTGTGACTATTGCCATAATGAACATGTGAGTGCAAGTATCTCCAGATACTAATTTCATTCAGATATATATCCAGAAGTAGGATTGCTGGATCATATGGTAGTTCTATTTTTAATTTTTTGAGGAACCTCCACTCTGCTTTCCATAATGGCTATACTCATTTACATTCCCACCAATGGGGTAAAAGTTCTCTTTTCTCCACAAGCTTGCCAACCTTTACCTCTTGTCTAATAATAGCCATCCTAACAGGTGAAGTAGTATCTCAGTTGTAGTTTTGATTTGTATTTCCCTGATGATTAGTGATGTTGAACACCTTTTCATATAAATGACAGTCATTTGTAGGTCTTCTTTGGAAAAATGTATATTCAGGTCCTTTGCCCATTTTTAATTGGATTACTTAATTCTTTTGCTATTGAATTGAATGAATTCCTTATATAATTTAGATATTAGCCCCTCATCAGACACATTGTTTACAAATATCTTCTGTCATTCCATAGTTGCCTTTTCCTTTAGTTGTTTTCCTTTGCTGTGCAGAAGCTTTTTAACCTGACGTTGTTTCACTTATTTTTGTTTTTTTTTTTTCTTTTTTTAGAGGGTGGGGCAATAGAGAGGGAGAGAGAAAATCTTAAGCAGGTACCATGCTAGGCAGGGCTCAGTCTCACAACCCTGAGATCATGACCTGAGCCGAAATCAAGAGTCGGATGCTTTGACCAACTGAGCGACCCAGGTGCCCCTATTTTTGCTTTTGATTTCTGTACTTTTAGTGTCTTTTCCAAAAAAATCATTGCTAAGACCAGTATCAAAGAGCTTTATGGTTTCAGGTGGTTATGTTTAAATTTTTTGTGCATTTTGAGTTAGTTTCTGTTGAGAGGTGTAAGATAGGGATCCAGTTTTATTCTTTTGCATATAGATAACCAGTTTTCCCAGCACCTTTATTGAGGAACCTATCTTCTTCCTGTGGTATGTTCTTGATGCCTTGACAAAGATTAGTTAAATGTGTATGTGTGGATTTATCTCTATATGCTATTCCTTTGGTCTATGTGTATGTTTTATGCCACTACCATACTGTTTTGATTACTATAGCTTTGTAATATAATTTTAAGTCACGAAATGTGATGCCTCCAGCTTTGTCCTTCTTGCTTAAAATTGCTTCAGCTACTTGGGTCTTTTGTGGTTCCATGTGAATTCTG